CCTTTTTACTATAGTTCTTATCAATTCTTTACCACTTGAACTAACTACCAGGTTAATTATCTCATCACAACTTACCACTTCAAAATATTGGTGATTTTTTTGTGATTTCTTTTATTGAATGTATAGGCATCTTGTTATTATTATTATTTTTTGAGAATAGCATTTTGTTATTGTTAATTATTCTTTTCGTTTTTTTTTTTTCTTTGGGAAAAAGATTACAGTTAGAGTAGTGATAAAATGAAAATAAGGGATGAAAATTTGAGATCAATAAGCCACGTAATTAAATAAATTAATGATACAATATTATAAATTTTAAAAAATTAATTATTAAATAATATAAAATTTACTTTTTAATATTTAAATAAAATAGCTTATGCCATATCATTGTAGTTCCAAATTTTGATCCCAAAATTTTATGATTATTTAAAGTTAATTTTTTGGGCCTAGAAGAAAATGAAAATTTACTATTAGCAATTTAGAGTAATGTCCTTAGACCCTGATTATAATATCTGTAAAGGGGTACCATTACTAACAGCCCAAATCAGCCCAAACAGAAAATGCGCAGAACCCAAAACCACAAGCCGAAAGGCCCGAATCTACTGCGCAGTCTGAAAGGTCTCGACCCGAACAGAGAACAGAACATACAATCACACAACATTAACATCACCTAAAAAAAACACACACACACATACAAATTAAAGAACTCAACTGAAACTTTGTATTTCATTATATATGTATTTAGCCTTTGAATCTGCGGCAGGGAAGCGGTGGCTTCTTATGAAGCCGCCGCACTCGTCAGCTGCTCCGCTCTGTCCTTCATCTCCCTAGCCTTAGTTGCCAACTTCGTCCTCGCTTGGTCTATCTGGTCCGCCCCTATCGGGTGCTTCCCCGTAACATACCTAAAATAATTCATGAGAAATTATTAAGGCAACAAGTAAATGAGGTCTCTCTTTACCATTTCTCCATACCTATAGATCCATGCAAGTACAGAAACAGCTGCAACACCGAAGCCACCAGAGGCTAGGAAGCCCATCACCAAAAGAGAAACTGCCATGATGGCAGGGACGAGAATTGGGCTGAAAATGACAAGGAGAGGCGTTGCAATGGTCAATGCAATGACCGTACCGGCTAGGATCAGACCAGAGAGCACCAAAAGAGACCCACCAGCGGTGACAGCTGTGGCGGCCTTCACCACCTGCTGAGACCTGGATTGATTATTCTGGATGTTTTGCTGATGTTGATAATGCTGCTGCTGGTGGTAATGCTCAGCCATAATTGACAGAAAGTGTTGGTTGTGACAAATTTGTGCGGTGGCTTGCGGTGGTTTTGGTGGTGGTGGTGGAGGTGTTATATAGAGGGAAGCGGGGTCCAATGGGGGTAGCACGTGTTGGGAAAGAAAGGTACGTGTTGAGGAGCTTCGCATGCAGGGGCTGCATGTAACGAAGTGGCTTTGTTTTGGGAGGGACACGTTCACTTTTGTGGGAGTTTGAAGTTTGTTAATGTTGGAGAAATTTCGTCGAAATATCCTCTGGGAAGTACCGTACTAAAGTGGAAACGGGACTGCTTTTCCAATGGGCCGCCACCCATGCAAGCCAAGCCCATTAAAGGGACGTGGGCCGTCACAAGGAATGAGGCGGTTGGGTTACTTTTCTGATCTTGGGTTTGTCCAAACAAGATTACAAGTCCAACTTGACCTCTCCTCAATTTTGTCTCTGAGAAAATTTATTAATTTTTGATGAACTTTGAAAAAATTAGGTCCTTTGTAGCTTGTGCTTTCTTCTTTTTCTTTTCTTTTTCTTTTTTTTTTAACACTTTTTATAAGCATTTTCCCCCATATATATATATATGTGTGTGTATATAAACACTGAGGTCGAGGTGATTGAAACCCATTTCTTATTGTTAAGAGTTATGATGGAATTAACTTTTGTTCTTAGATCACAATGTGAGGATCATATATATGTTTTCTTTTTTGGCACACCTAAGCAATTGTCTCATTAAGAAAAAATTTGGGACTTTAAGTTAAAATCTTTTATTTGGATCTTGAAATGTAAGAGTTATTCCTTCCACCATCAGATATACAAAAATTTGTTTGATTTTAAATCTAACATCTGCCCCATTTCTACTATATGTGAGTCAACTAGTAATTTTGATAGTGACTTACGCATAATTTCAACAGTAATTCTCCCATAATTCCAATAGTTATGGATGAACACCAAGCTCATGATGATCAGGGGCTAATCATAACTACTTTTAATTGATTTAAATATTTTAGATATTCATATTTTTTTTACTGGTAAGAGAAACTTTATTGGAGGATTTGGTAGGTGTGGATTACTGAGAGGACTTTCACTTTGTTGGGATTTCAATAGTAAAAAGCGACTCAAGCCAACTACCACATTCCATCATTAATTCATAGGTCAATTTATATAACGAAATTGACAATTTAAGTCACCAACCAACATAAAATTTATTCCTTTCATACTAGAATACAGAGGGCTTGAAAAATCTTCTAATCCTTGAATTAAATTGTGCGCACTATAGTTCTATTTGGTTAAATCGAGACTATTTCTATGTGGAACCAAAACTAATTTTCTTATTGGGAGGGCATTTCTAAGAATTGCTTAGCCAGCTAAAGTATTGCGTACCAAATGGAACTTTTCTGTTTTTTTAAGAAAAATATGACATTTTTCTATAATAAGAAGAGCCATATATTATAATAATAATAATAATAATAATAATAAATCCTTGAGTTCTGTTGCTAAGTTTTGCAACTAATTAAATTAATATTGTTTTATAAGAATATTGTTTATTAATTAAATTTATAAAAAAGTTAAATTAAAAAATACTTTAAAATTGTCATTATAATTAATAAAGTTTCGTGAAAAAAAGATTAAAGTAGTGTCTTTCATACTTTTAAAATAAGTTATTTTAGTTTTTTTCAATGTAGGGATATATTTTTAAAATATTTTTATACATAATTTCCTACAAGTCTAACTAATAAATAATTTTTTTCCCTTCTTTTATTGGGTTAAAACTAATGTATGGTTGTCTTTATCTCAGGAACTATGGTCTATATCTCCTTTGGTAGCTCTATTATATATGTAACCAAAGTTAAAAGGTGAGTGCATGGTCACTAGAAAGTAATAAGAAGAGAGATATATAGCTAGGTATGATGTACTCATGTTTTAGATAGTTGTATAAATGTTGTTAAGGGTTAGACTACCACTGACATTCTCAATTTAAATAAGATTTTTACTTTTTTACTCAGGTAAAAAAAAAAATAGTCATTCCATTATACCAATACCATAATTCACAATTTAGGAACCACGCATATATTGGGTATGTGGTTGGGCGTAAAACGAAGAATTGTCAGCCTAATGTGCTTAAAAAGCTAGCTAGTAACTAGTGTTCAATTTTTTATTTTTTTATTTTTATAAACATTTTTTGAACACTTTTTTTATAAGTTTTTCTTTTTGAACAAATTCGCATGGGTCAAAATCGAATCGTTGCCCTGGAAGTGAGAGATGCATTTATACGTGACCTGACGTCACTGAATCGAAAGTCCAAATACAAACATTTTTTTTTATAGTTTTGGATGAGGGTTTTGAAAATTTTAAAATTAATTTATAAGATAACACAGTTATTAGTAAATCTTCATTTTGCACAAACATTTTGGTTATACATTAGAAGAATGTAAACGCAATCGTCATTGAGGTAATGAGTCAACAAACCCCTATAGCTAGCTAGCTAGAAAGATTATGTTTTGGTAAAACTAAGTACACACAACTGGGGCCCGTTTGGTACGTTTAAATTAATTAATTGTGAATTCTGATTAATTATCTTTGATTTTCTGGTCATGAATCATAAACTAGCAAGAAAATAAAGTACGGTTAAGGCGAAACCGTCAAAGTATTAGGAAACTTTCGGCTTATAGAGGATATGGTTCAAAGAACCAAAATGAAAAATCAAGGTGGAATTCAACTGCGCAAAGTAGCAGGAGCTTTATCTGTGGAATTCAACAAAATTTTTTGTCATCTTCTGAAAAAAATGTAACTTCATTTTTTTTTTTTTTTTACCATAATAGAACTCTCCCTATATTGTATGTATTAATTATTATTATTATTATTATAATCTTAATTACACAATAAAAGATAATTTTTTCTCATCTTTTATCTCACTCTATCCGTATGTTATACAATTCGAACTCAAAATCTCTTTTAATGAAAAGAGATTTTCATTGAATTATTTAAATTATTAATATATGTATTAATTATTAGATTTTTATAGTAACAATGTTATGTTACTTATTAGATATCATGATACATATTGTGATTAAAGTGGCATATGAAACTACAGCCTTAGTGTATATAGGCAAAACCCCAAATCCATCTTTTAAATAGGGGTAGTGAGAGATCCATTCTCAAAAAAATATAAAGGTAAATTACATTTTTAAATTATAAATAAAAATATATCACTCCTTTTTTTAACGTATGACATCAAAAGTTTATTTGTTACGTAAGCATTTTTAATAAAAAATTGACATCACACATTAAAAAATGAGTGATTTGTCTCAATTTATAATTTAAAAAAACAATTTATTTCTGTATTTTTTTGAAAAGCGAATCTATTCCTACCTTTTATTTGAGGAGTCGATTTGGGGGTTCTATTTTGTATATATACAGTATGTACACCGACTTTAGATGTAGTTCCTTCTTGGATTGGGATTAATCTTAGGTATTATTTGATAATTATTGTAATAAAATGAGATATAATAAAATTAAAAAATTAAATATTTTGATGTTAAAAATATTATGATATTTAACTACAACTATAAAATAAGTGGGATATAATATCTTGATATTAAAAATATTATGATGTTGCAATTAAACTCCTGATTTTTCCTTTTTCTAGTCAGATACAGTGTTAAGTAAAAGGGGAGATGAGCCGGTCTTGAAGACAAGATTCTTAACTAAGTAAAAAGTCAGTTAGGGTGACTTAATATCTTAAAGAACTTTTTAATTTTTCCCTCTATAGTCTAGCTAACATTGTAATTAAGGATTGGCAGTTGCGCAGCCCTTCTTGTGCTGGCAGTGAGCACTAAATGCCTAGTGAAGGTTCAAATCTTCATGGGTCATATGTAAGATTTTCCCCTTCTAAAATTTCCCTTTCGCTCAAATAAATATCGTAAAGGATTGACCCAGAGGATAAGTAGTCTTGTCACAAAATTTCTAAACATCGTACTATATATTAAATGCTACTGAGGAATGGAAGAATGGATATGGGTATGTTCACACATGATATGTTATAATTATACAATTTAATTGATATTTTATTAATTTGTTGTTTTTTTTTTTAAATAGTTGATTATGACTTTTTTTTTTTAATGTATAATGTGAGGTAATCATCTCTCATCTTTTATTACACTCCATTTGTATATCATGTGACTCGAACTTAGGATATCTTATTTTTAACGGAAGAAAATGAACATTAAGTTATTTAGATCGTTGATAGTTAATTATAACATTTTGAAATAGGGAGTTTACTTATAAATTAATTTTAATATATTACATAATAAATATAAATTTTTTTATTAATTATTAGTTATTAATTATTTTTAATAGTCAAACCAAATAAAATTAGTCTTTTTAACAATAAAATTAATAAATATGTGTCTAACATACTAACGTGTGGCTATAACAATATCCGACAACAAAGTTATCTTGATTTAATAAGTAATTGCTGTGTTTAACTTTAATAGTCCTAATTTTTAATTTAGATTATTCAAATTTAATTATTCACTTTTCTTTTTTAAAATGTCATTTAATATGATTATTCTTATTTTATCCTTATTTAGGAAAAGATAATTGCAATATATATTAATTAAAAAAATTTATTTGAGCAATGATTAATTAAGAATAAATATGAAATTTTATCAATTGACTATTATATCATTATTTTATTGGATAAATTCATTAAAAAATTATTTTATTGGAAAAAGGACTAAGCCCACTAAAAATTGAATATAGGGAGTAGGGTTATTTATTTATTTATTTAGGTTTAGACAATTAGAAGTGTTTTTGGGTAAATTTATGCGCACCCTGAGTATAATTGATCTTTAGATGATCTTAAAGACTCACTGTCACATTGGTTTGGTGCATTTAAAAAATTAATTTTTTTAAATGTTGACTCAAAACTTGAATTTTAGAATCAACGATTTAAATAGTTCAATGGTGATTTTTTTTCGTTAAAAATAATAGATCATGAGTTCGAGTTCTATAATATATGAGTGGAGTGAGGTAAAAAATGAGAAATTGTTGCTTTCTATTATGCAATAAAAAAAAAAAAACTTGAATTTTAGACCTAACATTTAAGATGATACTTCCTTACAAATGAATCCAAATCTTAAAAATTTAATTTAATAAGTAGCAAAACATAAGGATGTGCCAAATAATAATAATAATAATAATAATAAAAGAAACATTGAAGTGATTCTCAATATATTTGGTGAATTATTGATAGTTACCCACTTTCTTATATTCACTTTACTCTCAAAAACTCTTTTCGCTGAGGACATATTGCTTTCATCCACCCTTTAATTTGGTAAACACAAAAAATACAAAAAGAAAGTGGAGCCGACTCAGTTAACCAATAGATGCTCGACCAAGTGACATTAAACCCATTTGATGCCAACAAAATCAAGAAAACTTGGAATTTTTGGGCATCATACATACAATTAGGGGATGAGTGTTAATTTGGTCAAGAACCAACGCACTTGTATGCTATTCAACCTGATCATCTGTAGTATCATTATTCGAATATACTAGGCTGATATTGAGTGTGCTTTTAAGATTGTTTAATAAATATTAATTTTATGATATGCAAAAAAAATAAATAAATAAAATCTATATGATAATGCCATTCTCTCTAATTATAATTAGGAGTAATTATTCCTTCTTTTCTTTTGGCCAAAGGAGTAACTATGCTTGATGTATGTGGTTAATTAGGTGCAAAAGGAACAAACCTAAAGTGCTTTTGAAGTGGCCAGTGAGTCGAGAAGATAGATGCATATGTAGGAAGAAAACCAAACCCCTCTTGTAATTCAACGTGTATTTTTTTTTTTTTATTAGCAAAATCAAATTTTATTAAATGAAGTATATAAGAGATACTTCTACCTATTTAGGAATACAACTTACAAATTAAAAACAAACCAACCAAACAAGTAATTGTTATTTACCAAGCTGCCCACCATAGTACAACCTATAACCACAACTCTGCAATATATTCTAGCTTTGCACTTGTCTTTGACTATTAAATTGCTTCTTGAGATACTTGTCTTGTACTTCCTCACAGCTAAAGCACACTCTGCCGGTTTAAGTGTACAGTCATGCAAAGAAAAAACACAACCAACCATCTTATTTTTAATCCATTCAAAAGATTGCACAATATTCAGCATCTTTGACCTAGAACATCATTTTTGAAAACAATTGCATTCCTCCAGCACCACAGCAGCTGAGCCGCCA